AGCGCGCGCCGTGGCAGGCGCCCCCGCTCCACCGAAGGCGCGCCCAACGAAGCGCAAATGAGGTCCACCTCTGGAACGCGGCCCACCATCCCCGCTGCGATCCAAAGCATCAGAAAATGGACAAGCACAGCGCGGCGCTTGGGCCCGAAACGAAGGCGCCGCAATGGGCGACCCCTCGAGAGCCAGTCGTATCAGCGCGAGGGGCAACAGGTGCTAACTATCACGCAAGGTCAAACTGGCGACGCGCGGACAGACGGCGGCTTGTCCAAACCACTCTGGCATGGGAGGCCTGGCCAGAATCTCTCCGCACAAACAAAAAACTAATTCTGCCTTGGAAGGTCAAATAACAGGCGGCGCGGGCATTCCGCCTCGGTCGCAGACTGCCGCGAGCCAGGCTCGCCACCCGATACCTTTGCGAACGATGCGCTTTCAACAACTGCGCTGCCCCCTCGCGCCACGAGGCCCGCCGCTTCCCGTCGCGCCTAGCCGCCCGGGCCCGCCAGGACAACGCCCCGACCGGGGGCCAGGGCCCAGGAGTCATGACCCGATGACATCCAAAGTACATATTGACGAATGGGCCCGGCGCGTGCGCAACGTCCCATGTGACCGCGAGCAAGCAAGCATAACGTTCCGAACAAGCAAGCACGCGCAACGTCCCATTTGAAGCAAATGGAAGCATTCGCAGCAGAAGCCTCAAGCAGCGCAACCAGAATACATTGAGCCGGGGTGCGCGGCGGCTTGTTGCGCGCAGCTGTCTGCGTGTCTTTCCTGCTATTCCAACCTCGGATGCTTTCCGCCTCCTTTCCAGCTTCGCCCATTGCTGTTCTCATCGTGACCCTGAAGAAGTGCTCGAGGTAGAGGGGCATTTGCCTCCGCGCGTCGCCCGCCTGCTCCTGCATCTTGCCCACGTCTCGGGGCTCCTCCATAGCTGGGAAGCTCGGCGGCGCCATGGTCGCATAGGCTTCGCGCTGCAACTGGCTCCACCACGCGACCCTGGCAACCCAACTTTGCCGCCTTGTCAAGAATGCAATCCGGCCCCCGCTCGCCTGCGTCGCCCCTGACCACGCGCAGCTGGGCAACAACAGCCGCAACAACCCTGTAGTCCCACCAGCCCTCTGGGCGTAGGTGGTTCCGGGAATTTCCTCTTCCATCTTCCACTTTCCCTTCGGGGAGGGGTTTACCCCGCCCCCTACCCCCCTCCCCTGGACCTGGGCGGGGGGTTTCGCTGGAAGTTGGAGCGTCCAAAACGGCCTCGGCGAGGAAACCAAAACATCGGTTTTACTACGGTTTTGGCCCCATGTTGGTCTCTTGGGGGGGGGCAGTGTTAATTGACCCCACCCTCTTCTTTGATCAATCTCCTCCAAGATGGCCCCAAGAGGCGCCCGGGAGGCCCCAAGAGGCGCCAAGATGGCCCCAAGATGGTCCCAAGATGGCCGCCATGAGGCCCCAAGAAACCCTCAAGAGGCTCCCAGGATGGTTCCAAGAGGCCTCCAAGAGGCTCCAAGAGGCCGCCATGAAGTTCCAAGAGACCCCAAGAGGCCTCCAACAGGCCCCCAAGAGCCCCCCAAAAGGATCCCAAGGGCCTCAAGAGGCCCCCCCGAAGCACCCAAGACGCCCAAGAGCCCCTATTGACCGCCAAGAGACCCCCGAGACGCCCGAAGAGGCTTCCAAAAGGCTTCCAGGAAGCATCCGAGCGGCATTCAACCATCCACCCAGCGTCATCATTCTCCTCATCCCTCCTTCGCTCGGTTCCTCGCCACCCCCTCATCTATCCATCTGGCCTCCTCTTCCGCCTCATCCTTTGCACGGATCGGCTGTCTCTCTGGTTGCTCCCCCACTTCCCTGATCTCTTCAACTTGCCTGGACATCGTCTCTGGATGGGCCGGCGGGGCAATTTTTTTGATTCGCGGCCCCCAAGGAAAAGTCCAGAGGGCGGTGTGAACGAGGCTGGGACACAGCGCGCGGGAAGGCAGATAATTAACGGCGCAGCACAAGTGCCAGCCAGGAAGAAACAGCTGCCGGTGGGGATACTTTTTTTACAGCCGCGGGCGGGAGCGCCAGCGGCGGCGAGTAACGGTCGGGCTGCGGCCGAAACTAATTGGCCGGACGCGCGCGCGGGCCGCGGCCGGCGCCGGGGCGGCGGTTGCAAGGGCGCTGCAACCCAGGGCGTCTGACGCCCAAGGACCAGCACCCAGGGAGTCTGCAACTACGCTGCCAAAGTGGCGCGATGCAAATAACCCCAAGGTGTCTGAGACCATGGCCCAGCAGTACGCCGCTTGAGACACTATCGAAGTATGGAGCCTGCCAACCTCGGCGCAGCGAATGGTGTACCATAGAGTCCCAGGGTGTCTGAACCATGCTCAAGCAGAGGCGTCAGAGAGACACGCACGCTGTCGCCTGACTGCAAACCGTGGGGAGAGGTGGGACTCTGACAGCGCCAGCGAACCGTCGCAGCTTCAGAGTACGCACCAACGCAACCAAAAGGCGCGAAGTTCGTGGTGTCTGTGCCGAGCAAGGCACGTCAGGACCGGGAAGACAACCGCGAACAGAGATGCGTCCGCAAGCGAGCCATCAGGTAACATGATGTGGCGCTATGCGGAAGGTACAACTGTCCCGATCTTCTACCAGGCACGAGTCGCAGGCGACTAGCGACCAAAGATAAGAGCAGGAACGCGTACCAGGGAGCATCTAACGTGACAAGCATGCACAGAGCACTGGTGGGGATACGCGAAGCATCAAGAATTTTTGAACGAGATATCCTCCAACTCCGGCTGGTCACAGCACGTCGGGTGCGAGGCTGAATAACAGTCGATGCACCTGCGCCCCTCCGCGCGCGTCGGAATGCGGCCTCCTGTTTCGCCCGCTGCCGCGCGGAGTCACGCTCATTTTTCCCGTATCAGGTCCCACAATAGATTCTCCCCAGGTTTGTCGTTGAAGTCCCCCGCGTTGCACCAGGTGCGCTTGCGGCTCAGCGTCTCCAGCAGACCCAACACGAACGACATTGCCCCGTCCCTTGCCTTGCCCGGCGGCTGGTAGAGGTCGACCGCGATCAGATCCTCGACCCTCGCGGCCACGGTTTGTGCGTCCTCGCCCACAAGGTGGTCCAGCTGCCGAGAGCGCAGCGCGTTGGACACCAGCGTGCATACTCCACCAGTGGGTTCGCCAATTGGGTCGCGGCTCTTCTTGAAAAATATTTTTTGCAACCGATCTAGCGCACGCGGGCCTCGAACGCCGCGCAATCCTGGTCTGTCAGCCCCACCTCCTGCAAGAAGACAACATCCACTTTTGCCTGGCTCACCGCCTCCAGCGCCTGCCACGCCGTCTTTCCCAATCCCACGTTGACCGTCCAGGCCATGGCCCATGGCCGCCCCTTCCGTGACGCAGGGCCTGGGTGCGGTTCCACGTCTCCATCCTCCACCAGGTTTCGAAACCACCCTCCGGCCACCTGCGGGGGGCGCACGGCTGCAGCCATGCCCCGGATGCACCTTCAGGAAGTGGGAGCTTTGCGCACCCGCCCCAGCGTATTCAGTACCCTCTGCCTGGTCCTTTTCTCTGGTGCCTCTTTTTGCGGTGGCCCCCGCAACCTCGTCACAGGTGCCTTTCCATCCCCTTGCCTTCTCGCAGGTACTTCAGCCTCCTCCTTCCTCCTTCGCCCCTTCGCGGGTCCTCTGATCTCCTCCTGTCTCCTCAGCCTCCTCTTACCTATTCCTGCCTCTGCGCTGGTGCTTGGAACCTCATCATTATTCCTCAGATTCCTCGCCTGCTCCCCGGCCTCCTGTGCCTCTTTTGCTTCCCCCTCCTGGTCCTCGTATGCGTCCTCCTGCCTTCCCGCAAATACTTCAGCTTCCTACCTCCTCCTCCTCTTCTGCCTCCTCACGGGTCCTTTGATCTCCTCCTGTTTCCTCAGCCTCATCATGCCCATTCCTGCCTCTGCGCTGGCGTTTGGAGCCGCATCCGACTTCCTAATTTTTTTCGTCGGAGCCCCTGCGTCCTGCGCCTCCTCTGCCTCCTCGTCCTCCCAGTCCTTGTCGCGCTTTGCCGGCGCCTGGCGACCTGTAGCCATTGTTTTTGTTCAGGTGTTGCTTGGGCTTCGCGTGCTGCCGCTTGTACTTCAGTCGCGCTCGCACCTGGCGGACTCGCATTTGGCTCGTGCGCGCCCTGTACTCCTCGGCGCCCTCGTCTGGTCGTCTCCTGTAAAGGGCGCGCGTCGACACAGGCGGGCACCAGCCATCCGCCAAGAAGTTCAAAAACTCCTTGTCCCACTCCAGCTTCCTCAGGGTCTCCTCCTCCTCCTCCTCCTCCTCCTCCTCCTCCTCCTCCTCCTCCCCAGCCATCCTCACTTCAAGCCACCACTCCTGCAGTTGCGCGCGCGCGCTGCCGTTCGTGAGCGTGCTCTGGCGGCTCTGGTCGCCTGAGAACCCGTGCCAGAGCTGCCCAGACAACACTTTGGCGCACGCCACAGCGAACAGACACCTCTTGCATCGGAACTGCATGGTCACACGCGTGCCGTCCTTCCTGTACTCCACGTTCTCGGCATGGCCCCGGTACGACAGCGCCACCAGGGCATGTTCACGGAACCGGTCTTGCGGCGCCGCCAAATTCCGCTTCGTGGCCTCTCTTCTGCAGAACTCGTCGAACGGCACGTTTTCGTGGTCATCGCACAATCCGCACGTCCACTCTCGCTGCGCTGGAGGGAGCGACGTCGTGGCCTCGATGAGGTTCGGCGGCGGCGCACGTTTCCTCAGGATGCGCCTTCCGTAGGTGCGCTGCTTTCCTGGCATACACACCTTTCCACTTGGGGGCCTCGGCAACCCACGGGACCTCGAGGCGAAGAGGACAGCGCCAGCGCGGGAGCCGTCCTGCGGGCGGGGGCACGGCCTCATCTGCCTCTTCCTGCTCCTCCTCCTCCTCCTCTCTTTCTTCCTCCTCCTTTCCTCGGAGCTCCTCCAACCCATCTGCAATGGTGGTGCTGATCCCCTTGGGTGCCGGCCCGGCCTATCCTCGGCACCACTGGGCAGGGCGAGCGGCAGGCTGGCAGCTACTGGCGTGGCTGGCATCCATCCGTTCCTCGGCTGGGCAGCAGCAGCTGCTGCCTTTGCTCCTCCACTCACTCTTCCTCCGTCTGCTCCTCCTCCTTCTTCTTCTCGTCCTCTTCTCCTCCTCCTCGACCTTCTCCTTCCTCTCCAGCGCCTCCCCTCTTCCTCACACTCCTCCTCTGCCTCGTCCTCATCCTTCTCCGCATATTACTCCTCCTCCTCCTCCTCCTCCTCCTCCTCCTCCTCCTCGCCCTCTTCCTCATCGCCCTCTTCCTCCTCCTCCCCCTCCTCCTCCTCTCGCATCTCCGTCCCTTACTCCGTTCGCCCCGATTTACCTCCAAATCTCCTCGCGCCGCGGTGTCCATGCTCTGGCCTAGCCCCTTTCGCTCTCCAGAGCGGGGTTTGACCCCCGTCCATCCCCTTCGATCAGTCATTGTTGTGGGCGCCTTAAGCGAAAAACGTCGCGCCTTACAACCTCAGTGAAAAACGCATTGGCGACTGGAAACGGTGAGGCGAGGACAAAGCAAAGGAACACATGTGGATGAACACGATGCGGCCTCATTGGCTCTACACCCAAAAAGCAATGTGCCCCGTACTCAGTGGAAGCGTATCATCGTAAGCAATGGCAGAAGGATGCTGAACGGGATGAGCACACTTGAACACCTTTGTTTATAATATAACCCCTATGGTACGTATACTGCGAAGCAACCTATCGCGCTGGGGCTGAGATTCAAACACCTCCTCATCGCCCCTTCTCGCAAAGAAGGCTGCACAGGCGCTCTCCTTGCAGTCTCCGAGCTCATGGCCTCCGCGCGGGAGGCTGTGGACCCCGACGAAAGTACAAGCAGCTGCTAATCAAGGAGGGGGCGGGGTGGGAAAACACGTGGCGATGGTATGTTCGGCAACACCCGGGGCAACCGCGGTGTGTTTGTCTTCGTGCTGTCACCCGGGCCCCGGCCGTTCTTGCCGTCCTTGCCGTCTCTCGCCGTACTGTGCTTCCACTTGGCCTTGTTGCCACCCGCTGCACCCTCGCTGTCCACGCCTTGGTAGAAGTATGGCATGGTTGACCCACTATGGTTCCCTGCACGCTCTGAGCGGCCCCGTTCAGTCACTTTCTCAGCCTCGACGCTGCGCGCGAGGCCGTTACAGCCAAAAAGTGTGCCCGCGCGCCACTAATTCTGCGTGCCCATACTCCGATTAGTCCCCATGGGTCGCAAGAAAACATAGACACATGTGCGCTTGGCGGCACCCAAGACACGCGACGTTGCTTTGGGCTTGCGTGTGCCCGAATTATGCTGGGTCCCAAGGGGCACACATAATTCCACGCTGTCACCACTTTCCTAGAGGTCACGGCAATACCCGGTAGGTAGTACGGATGGCAGCACCCATGGGGGAGGGGAAAAAAGAACACGAAGGAATCTGAAGCGATGGCAAAAGAAAGGAGACGCGGAGAGGAAGGATGGCCAGAAGAGGAGGGGAGGAGAAGCGAGGCCGCTCCAGTCTCCAAGCGATCAAACAGCCCCACAGAAAGTCCAAGATAAGCCCAACACGGGCCAAGACCGCCCCCAAACTCGAGACCAGCCCCAGACGGCTTGAAAATGAAGACGATTTTGTGACCCGCCAAGACGGCTCACATGCCAATCACGGCGACATACAAACTTCCAACATGCCCCCAGCAAACCCAGAACAACTCCCGAACGAATCCCCACTATGACCCCACGAGGCCCACGAACATGCGGACGAACATGGCGATAACCATTGAATGCCTTTTCTCATGCCGAACTGATCGAATCAATATGGCTTCCAAGGGTCGCAACTAAGACGGAGGCAGAGGGCGGGGAAGAGCGACGGAAGTCTAAGGATGGTCAGTGGGGCAACTCAGCACCACGGCAGATGGGGGAAAATCGGTCGGACGGTCTGTCCCGTAACAGGAGCGGTCCCCCCAGGGGCAGACAACCGCCATGCTTCCAAAACAACAGGTTCAACCGAATTCACTGGAAAAGGGAACGTCAATGTACTACTTGCAGCAAGGGTCGCCACATCTCAGATAAAGCCTGCCTATCGCCCGCCTGGTCCCTGTCTAGAACCGAACCTTCCACCCTATGAGTCAGCCGACCCCCGCTTGCCCGGGGTGCAAAGGCGTGTGAAATGATTGGTTGTCCCCATCCCCCTTCTCCCCTCCCCTGGGGTCTGACATCCGATAAGAGCGGGATTGGCCTGGGGGTTGGGGCCGGCTGGAGGGGGGGGAGGGGTCTCAGAGCTCATCAACGCTCCCCTGGGGCCTCCAGAGCCTCCCTTTCTACACTCTGTGGCCCCCAAGGTGCCTAAGAATCGATCTATGCTTGCTCAAGCAGGGCTCCAACACGCACAGGAGTCCTGGAAGACGACCAAGACACCCTCGGACCGCCCGAGAGGCCTCAAAGACGCCCCAAGAGGGCTCCAAAACGACCCCCGAAAAGGCCCCAAGAAGCAACAATCGTCCAAATCCCTAAGGAACACATATCATTTGAACATCTTCGCATACGTGGTGTCAGCCGTGCCCAAGTCGGCTCAAGAGGTCCCCATGCTCGCTCCAAGAACCCCCACGAGGGCACCAAGGCGGCCGCAATGGGTCCCAAGACTGCCCAAGAGGCACCCAAGACGGCCCAAGAGAGCCCCGACAGGCCCCAAGAGAGCCCCAGGAGAGGCAACTCGAACTGACATTCCGAGCCGTCCGCCCCAAGAGGACCCCCGAGACCGCCAGCAGGCGCCCACGGAACACTCCCAAGAGGCCCGAACAGGCCCCCAAGAGGCCCAAAGGAGACCCCCAGAGGGTCCCCGAGAGGCCCCCAAAGGCCTCACCCGTTGACTTCATCCCTCTTCTTGGGGTCAGCGGAATGGCGTAAGCCTCTTAGACATCTTGCTCGATCAACAGATTGGGATAAAGGGGGGGCAGACAGCGAGGGGGGGAACGGGGGCAAGCTACCGCAGCCGGGGCCTGCGGACCCCGCGGGCGGAGGCGGCGGCGTCTGCGCCGCATCGTCCAGGAGGTCCGCCCAGCTGGCAGGGGCGGGGTCCCAGCTAGCAGGTGGCATTGCTGCAACCACGATCGCGGCTCGCGCCTGTTTTAGGTTGAGTGCTGAAGGGAGCGGGGGGCGGGCGGAACACATAATCCAAGGAAGCTGTCAGGCCACCGCAGCCACCGATGGCCAGAATCAGCGCCGCCCCAATTTTAATGACCTCCCTGCGCGTGTCAGTGCTGCCTGCGAAGCAGTTCGCTCAAAGGTATAAATGCGGACATCGGGTCTCTTGTGGACAGCCTCGACTCTCAACATGGTCGACGTTGATTATCCTCCGTTCACCTAGCTCTGCGATGATGCCCTCGCGCGCGGCTTCTACGAGGCCACGCAAAATGATTCATTCGCGTTCTGCTTCCACCTTTGGCAATTCACAAGCAAATAGCTGTGATCGGGGGCAAGGTTGGCGCAGAAAATGACAACTTTTCCAAAGCTCCCGTGATATCCCAGGATTGCGGGAATCCAGTGAGCCACCAGAATGGCGCTCGATCTCCAGAGCCCTGGGCCCCTGCGCACATCACGCGCACGCCATGCTCCCCTGGGGCGCGCGGTCAAACCCAAACTGAGATAACGCACCGGCCGCGCTGCTCCTCTTGGAACCAGGAGATGCCCTCGCTCGTGCTCCTCCGCGGGCCCTGCGGTGGCAATCATTACGCAGCGCCCGCGATCAACTCGACGAACTGCATCGCGCCAGAACCCGCCCACATGATGTATGACCCTCGCCAAAAAAACCCGACCGCAACGCCTCTCCGCCGGCCCTGTGGTCCTCGTCTGCTGGCTAAACCTACACACGTGCGCACGCTGCCAGCAGCGATGGGATGCAGCTTCCCTGGCCTGGCGATCCTCCAGGTAGCGGGGCAAACTGCATTTGTCCCAGCACGCCGTTCGGCGGGAATCAGACAAATGTGCAGTGAAGCGGAGGTTATGTTGAAACGCTGTACCATACGTACACACACAGCGAACTCGTCCACGAAACAAAAACTGGTAGGGCACTTCAGCGCGTGCTTCCTTGTCTGATGCATCTTCAACGTTTTGTTAGTCTTGAAAGCTTGACAACTTATATATGTATATATATTTATATATACTGCAAACGTATGGCGTGCTAGACGGACCACGGGTTACAACACGCGTTGCACCATTGCCGCATGGGGAAGTGGAACAACAAATATACGCTGCACCTTCTCACGTCACGCCTGCAGCTACTCAAGCTAAACCCCCTGGCCCATGCTCAGCGTGTGAGGTTCATGCTAATACTGATACTATGCTGTGACCCTGACACATGAACACCATAATTATGCTGATCTGCTAATCCGCCACCGTGGCGCAGGGAACGGAAAAGGCGTGTCCCCGGGTTCTTTGCGTATTCCGTTGATCCTCAATCCTCGACCCTGCGGATTCTTGAACGGACCCGGAACTCAAATTCAAGACGGCCCAGTAGGGATCCGAGCTGTTGAAAGACCGCCACAATATGCCCAAGATGGCCTCAACACGGCCGACGAGGTCACCAAGACGCCCCAAAAGAGTTCCAATAATCAAGAAGCGTCCCAAGGGGGGCCCAAGACGCAACAATCATGGATTGCCCATCGGATGTTCAAAACTTTTGGCGTTTGCACTTGTCGCCTGTTCAGCTTCCCGACGATCCGCGCCGGCCCAAGAGGCCACCACAATCGCCCCAAGAGACCTCCAAGAGGGCCCGAAAACGGCCCAGGAGGGCCCCAAAACGGCCGAAAAGGGGCACTGCCCCCAAAAAACAAAAACGTCATCAAAAGGGGAGCCAGACGGGGAAGGCGCCCCAGGAGGCGCCCCATGAGGCTCCAGAACTACCCCCGACGAGGCCCCCGAAAGCGCCCCGAGGAGACCCCCAAAAACATCCCCGAGAACTCCGACCCGCAGCCCAGGCACGTCGGCAGGATGGGCCGAAAACAAAGAGCGGGGGCTTCATGACGCCCAAAACGGCCTCCAAGACGGCCCCAAGACGGTCCAGGGAGGCCCCCGATACGGCGCCCGACGGCCCAGGAACGCCCCAAGACTGCCAGAGAGGCGCCGAACAAACCCCAAAATGTTTCCAAGGAACCGAAGGTGTGAACGGAGTTTAACGACCAATGAGTCGAACCTACCGCGGGGTCCGTAGGTAGAGGGCGATAGGGGGGAAAGAGGTGTCTCTTTCCCCCATGCGCCCGCGGAAGCAGGGGCGCGAATGATGTCAAATGTCCAGTGCCTGAACCGAAAAGATAACAAGATAGATGTATTGAAAAGTAATATGAGCGGTCGTCACGCGCACTGTCCCGAATCCCGCCCGCTCCACGTGGGCCTCGGGCCCACGGGAGACGGAGGCGGAACTAGGGAACAGAGATGTGAGGACCACGCGAAACACCCTTTCCATCCCCGGCGAACCCAAAACGGGCCCCCCTTCAGCAAGGAGAAAGGAAAAAGGCCTACCACGCAGCACGGGGTACGTAAAGGAGTCTACCCGTCTAAGCGGGCCGAAGGTGCGCCTCCCAAAAAACGCTTCGGCACACCTCGACGACCCCCCGTCACCTCAGGCGACGGGGTTGGTAGAGTAAAAGAAAAAAACAAGTCCTACGTCAAATGCGCGACTGAAGTACAATGGCGCGGGCGTTTCCACCACCGCACAACGCACCGCGTGCAGGTATGCTTTCAAAAAAAACCATACTCAATTCAAATATTATAGACAATGTAATAGGTGGGTGCGTAGCAGCCCAAAGCGTGAATTCAGAACTGTATGCGATATCGAATTTGAGACGACAACTGCCCAGGAGTAACACACAACGCGGCGAATTTGTCACAGGGCTCCCCCAGGCCCCAGCCCCAAACCAGTATCTCGCGATATGTGGGCGCGAAGCCACCCGAAGACACAATCAACATTGCGCACGTGGTCCAACTTGTGACAACACTTGATCAAAATAGCGATAGCGTAAAATGTTCAAACACGTGGGCGCTCCAGGCCCCAACATACTTCCCAAACATACTTGTGCAATATACCCAGCATCGCCACATGATGTTGATCGCACTGAAAAATGTTATTGGGATCTGGCCTTCATTTAAAATGTCGTTTCCTTAAATAACCGACAGCACATGAACATTGAAGTCCGCGACAAGGAAATATCATGTACTATATTCGCGGCGGGCGACCTGTCCAGGCGCGTTCATGCCCATGATGCCACGACAAATCGTACAACATTTGCGGCGGGCAACCTGCCTAGGTGCGCGTATGCCCATAGCGCCAGCAACGTCAATATACGAAATCCACAAGCATTGGAAAGTCATTCCAAGTGTTGCACCAGTGAATTGGTTTATCTACGAAACATCTTGGAAGCGTGGCATGCGCGATCCCAAGTGCGATTGCAACGATTGTCAAATTGTCCAACCGAGCAAGCAGCAGTATGATCAACCCAGTTATATACACAACCATTTTAATCTGCCTATATCCAATTGTTCAGATCGCGCGACCAGTAGCGATATGTTGTTGCGGTAGTGCTCGAGGTTGTGGCGCCACCGCGCCTCCGGGAGCGCCCTGCGGGCGCCGCTCCGAGCGCGCTAGCTGGTCGCGTGCTGCGAGCCTTGCGGCAGGCGCAGCGGCGTAATCGGACTCCGCGCTCCCGCCGCGATAGGCGCGGCAACTTCTGTCGCCCCGCGACTCCAGTCTGCGTCGCCGGGGGCAGGGCCGCCGGAAGACGCCGCGCCCGAGGAGGAGGCAGCGCCCGTGGCAGGCTCATCGCGGCGCGGCGGCGGAGGCGCGGGCTGCGGGGTAGAGCGGGGGCTGGTGACGGGATCAATCCCCCGCCGCAGGCTTTGCCCCCCTTGGTGGTCGCAGCACTGCGATGCCTCGTTCTGAGCTGCGCCGAGGTCGCGCGGCCCTGGCCCGTCTCGCCGATCTGGGGAGCGCCCGCGCGCAGCTCGCGGGCGTGCCCATCGAAGTTGGCAAAACGGCCGCGGAAACATCTCTGGCAACTCCGCTATCCGTCTGAATTCCAAGCGCCCCTGCCCGCGCCGGCGCCGGCGCCCACTCGCGGGCGTCTCCGCCGACTCTCAGGCCGCCAAGGTCGCGGAGGGCCTGATCGGAGATCTCGCGAGCGCTGTCGGTGGCCAGATCGGCGGAAGGAGATTCGCACCCCTCATCGGTCTTCTGATCGGGGAGCTTGCCCATCGCGATGTCTCCGCGAGCTCGGCCTGCGAGGCAGTGCCGGGATGCTCCGCCGCGATCCGCCTGGGTTGCCCCGCGAGGGCCGTCTCCTACGCAGCCCTCTCGCCATCCTGGAGGAGGGCGTCGAGGTCCGAACGGAGTGCATCGGTGATCTGGCCCCGGGCGAGAGCGGCCACTCCAAACCCCTCATTACTCGACCCCCCGCCTAAAAAACCGGACCCCCCATCCACATGCGACCGGACATTCCGGGGCCCCTTCTGCGACGGGGCGCCTAAAAAGCACTAACCCGCTAAACTCTAATCCAAAGCGAGCGCCCCAATGCGCCGGGCCCCTTGAATTGCAGAGAAGGCGCATTGAAAAACCGGACCCGGGGGGCGATTCATCGGGGATTTGGAGTGCGGGAGCGGAGCTTCCTGGGCCAGGCTCGGGCCCCGTAGACACACGGGCCCCCTCGGGGCCGATCTCTGCCGATGAGCGCGGAGGATGATCGGCGTCAGCCGCGGAGATAGACGCGCCAGGTTGCCGCGCGCGCGGGGCCGTCGCCTGGCCGATCCTGCCGCCGCGGGAACGTCGACTAAAGACACCCCTGAAAAGGCGCATCGGCCGCAATCGAGTCGCCCCACATTTTCCGCAATGCAATGAGTCCCCGACGATTATTGCCCCGCGAACTGCGGCGCGAGAGATCTTCAACAACGCGCGCGCGCAAACGGATGGAGGGCCGAGAGAGGGAGAATGAGACAGGCAACGTCAGCGATGGACCTGGCAGTCCTAGCGGTCTCCGTTGTCTTCTCGGTCTTTGGAGTTCTGGCGGGGAAGAT